GTGCCATCATGACTTGAGAAATCGGGTCGTGACAGCTTTATTGTGCCAAAGTAAAAACTTTAAAACAGGGTGGAGGGGAACGAACATTTGTTTTCTTCATCTATCCAAAAGACACTTATATTCTGGCCTTTGGAGTAAGAAATATTAGATACTTTGGAGAGAAAGCACCCAGACTACACTTGAGTAGAGAGTTCGCATACCTCTAGGAGTCAAACTTCTAGTGCTGTCTTGATGTTCCCAAAGACAAAGTGGTAGGTTTCGCAACTCATTTTATCTTCTGGCTTATGTCAGGGAAATGTTTATTATCCCCAAAATCTTGAATATTATTTCTTGTTTCCTCCTCCATTAGATAGCAACTTCCTTTTCTCCCCTTGAAAAGCCTTGCATTATAGGAATTATAGCACTGCAAATATGGTTTCAGTATTTTCCAGTCCCAGACCTGTGCTTTTGCCAGCTTTTACCCAGTGAACTCTGAGCTCGACTCTCTTAGTCCATACAAAAATGAGGAAAGGTTGCTCTACCCATTATTCAGCACTGCTCTAGTATTTGGGGACTCCTATTTCCTGAATATCACCGATAGCCTTATTTTTATGGGTATTTCTATCATTTTCACATCTTCCTTGTGCTTCTCTGGTGGGAATAGTCTCTAAATGTTTCTTTTGAGATAAAAGTCTCTAAATTTTTCTTGTCCTCAATATCTAGTTTTCCTGTTCCTCAAAATCTGTTTATTTCTTCCCCCTCTTTCTTTTGTTTTGTTATATGTAGTACCTGGGGCTGGATGTATATCTGTGCTGCAATAGCTATTTGCACATTTATAAATAAAGCAAATTGGATTACGAGAACTTTCGTCAAGTTCAGGAGAATTTAGATCAAATTTTTCCGTCTGAACTCATTGTTACCTTTCTCAAAATATAAAGACTTGCCTTCTAAACTTGACTTTTTTTTCTTCACTCTGCTGTTAATGAATCTATAAGTTGTTTTATTATGTTCTGTTTTGGTTGTCACTTTGGCATCCCATGTTGCAGTTTAAGATTTTGTAGTAGGTGGCTTTCAGATAAATCTTGAGCAGAAATTTCGCCAGTAGCAGACATGTTATTTTACCTGTTCTTTGATCAATAGTTCGTCAGCTTAATGTAGAAATTATTTCATGTCCTGGTCCCTAGTTTTTGGCAATGTTTCTTGAAATGGTAAATATTATTGATGCCAAAACTCAAAACTAGCACTAAGAAAGTGCTGTGATTACATCCAAAAAGAGCAAAAGAAAAGTGAACCCTCGCTACCTAGACAGTATCTATGAACTATAACAGGGTTTCAGCATCCTCAACTATATCCATTTTGCACCAGCAAGAGACTGTAAATATAAAATCAGATTTGAGTTTCCAGATTGAGCTCTTTCGTCCATCAAAATATCTTCTATTCCTGTCCTTCCAGATACTCCATCATATGCTAGCAGGTATGGTGTTCCATGCCTTCTTTAAGTGTTTGAGGAGTCCATATCTACTTCAGAATCTGTTGTCGACCAATTCAGACCCCGGTAGTTAAGAAATATATGTCAAACTTGTGAAGTATAAGAGCAATGCAAGAACAGATGACTGTTGCTTTCTTGATTTTCCTCACACAAGAAACATCTGTTTACTAACTGTATACCTTTTTTTTTTGTAGGTTCTCTAGAGTTAGACAAGCTTCCTTGATGACAAGCCATTTAAAACTCATTACTTTGACAGGAGCTCTGGAATTCCATATCTGTTTCTAAGGACCAACATTAATCTGATTCCCAGCATTCGGTTAAACCTTATGGAGTAGCATTCTCTTTATTGAGAGGAAGGTATTTTTGCCATGTTGGACTACCTGGGTGGACTGCCATGTCAGCTCTAATAGCAAAGATAATGTTTTAAGGCTATTTGTGTTCCAAAACATAGACGACAAGGGTGGTTTTGATTCCAAACATATTTAAAGGGTATATATGAGCTATTTCGAATAGTTCGAGGGTGATTTTGACCCTTTTCCGTTAACTTTTTACTGCTTTTGTTAATGTAGAGTTCAAGAAAGCAAAAAATAAAATAAAAATCTTGTAGAATGTTTTTGTTTTTGTTTTATTTTGAGGTTAGCATGGTTAGTAAGACGATAATCTTTTTTGAGCAACTTTCACATATAGCAAACATAAAAATCATATTTGTATGCTATAACTATAGTTTGCATAATTGCGCTCCATAGCAAACATAAATATGTATATTTCGTTATACATATACAAAAGAAAGCAATTGTATAATCTGTTTTGGTATATATATACAAATGATCAATTGCATAATCTGTGTTTGTATAAAGCGAGAAAGACAACAAAAAAATTGGGCAGGAGAAGATCGTATTTGTATAATCATAAGTGTATAGGATGAAAATATATGCATTTGTATTTGTATATACAATTTTCTCTTGTTTTATACAAACACAAACACAATGTATACATTTGTGTTTGTATAAAGTGAGGGAGGCGAGTGAAAGTGGCGAGCGAGATCTGGGAGAAGGGAGAGAGGGGAACAAAAATATATGCATATATACAATTTTCTCTCGCTTTATACAAACACAAACGCATTTTATACATTCGTGTTTGTATAAAAGCGAGAGAAGCGAGGGAGATTGCTCAGCGAGAATGAGAGTGGGGAGCCATATTCACCAGGAGAGAGACGAAATAGCAACAGTTTGCTATGGGGTACAATTAAATCAAACTATGGTTATAACATTTAATTTGAATTAATAATTTGCTATTATATACAATTTTCCCATCTTTTAATGATGGTTGAGAATTTTGGGTCGAGTTTTTTTAATGTGTAAATTTCATATTATAGTACTATTTTCAAGCTATAGTAGTAGATTTAGACTTTCAAGCTATAACATTAAAATTTTCAGGTTATAACAAATTCACAAAAAAAAGAATTAATTGGAAAAAACTTAAAAAATAAATAAAAAGATAAAACGAAAATTAAAAAAAACGGAATTAGAAATAATAAAGTAAAAACTGAAATTGTGGCCTGTAATTTAATTTGAACTTATTGTAGATAATTAATGGTTAGCATGAAATAAGGGATCCAAACAAATTAACAATATTTTTTATCCTTAATTCACTCAAAATCAGTTAAAATAAAATAAAAAATCATATCATATCCTTTTTTTCTTCAACGTTTCTTTCTCTTAATTCTTCAACCTAAAAAATTAGCAGAATCGAGTAATTGAAGGTTTTTTTCATTGAAAAAAATTGATTTTATTGAGTTGGACAATTACATATCAATTATAATTAAACATGGTGGAAGATGGGATCCTTCGGGTTAGTATTTATTATTGTTTAGTGTTTGTTTTTAAATTATATTGAAATGAATTTTTTTTTATTAAACTGTAAATCGTCTCTATGTTTAAGATGATATCATTATTTATTAACTATTGTGAAATGTATAATATTAGTGATTTTCTGTTTTTGTGATTGTTTTGTGTATTTTTTTCTCTTAAAGTATAAAGTAATTGTATATTTATGAATGAATTTAATAAAATTATTTGGAAAGAAATTTGTAAGAAAATGTGTTTCGTAAGATGTAAAAAAAGTTATTTGGATTTTTGACGAATTGTATAACAAGTGTTTTAAGTTGGTATTAAATTATAAATTTTAGTGTGTTATATTAGATGTTGTCATTTCTGAAGTAATTAGTGAGTTAGAAATGAATTGTTTGGTACGATAAGACATAGATATTTGTAATGTATGATTATTTGTTGTATGAAATGTATATTAAGAAAGTATGAAATTTGTATGAAGCGTGTCCAGTAATCTGGAAAAAAAAAAGTTATTTGAAATTTTGACGCATTGTATGATAAGTGTTTTAAGGTTGTATTAGTTTTGAAATTTTATTGTTGACATTTTTGTATAAATTTGTGTGACATTAATGAAGTATTTTCGTAAAAAAAGAAGTACATATTTATTGTAGGTAAGTTGTATTAAAATAGTATGAAAGTGTTTGGAATGTACTATTTGAATGATATTTGTATGAAATGTTTTTTGATTGAATATAAAAATTGTTTTGTAATGTTCTGTCTGTCTGAATGATATTTGTATTTCAAATTGTTTGTTTATAATGTGAGACTAATTTATAT